ATCCTTACCCCAGGGTTACATGTAAACCAAATGAAATCAGCCCACAAAGAGGCAGTCCATTAAAGGGGGGGGGGGGGCAAAAAAGCAACCCCCTTGGCACTCGCTCTGACTTTAACATCCTGTAAGCATGGAGGAAGGGCAAAAGCATTTTGCTTTGTTTTGCTTTTTGATAGTAAATAAGTCCAAAGCGAACTGTCCTAATAGAGATTTGTATGATGCACTATTAAATCTTTCTGACTGATCTTTGCAAAACCATGCCCCTGTGGGCTTTCAGCGCTTTTAGGGTGAAGTCCATCTTAGCATTTAAGAGGGATAGTGGGTATGTTCAGCTAGTGTCAGACTTGTCTCCTGGAGTTTCAGTGGAGGTGACTTTGTTGTAGCTAAAGGGAAGAATTTACCAGTAGGGTTGAAAAGAAGAGTGCTGATCAGCAAGGGGTTCCTACGCAACTGGTGTTTGTGAAAATGGAAATTTGGAAAATGGAAAGCTATAGATAGAAGCTGAGTTCATAATTTCAGGGCCTCTAAATATAAATAAGTGGAGGCATTATATCCAATAATTATTGCTGTAGTAGAACAGCCTGTGAAAGAGATAGATTGTTGATGTTAGAAAATGTACTGTCTCAGATACGTCTTTGGTAGGGAGAAGTTAAGTTCTTTCCCAGTTTCGCATTTATATTCTTCAATGAGCTCTGAAGCCAGCGGATTTGGTTTCAATTATCAGCCTAGAAGTATGGAACTTTCTTTCTGTCATTTAAAAAAAACCCAAAAAAACAAACACAGTAGAGTTAAGGGACGAGTTGAAAGAAAAGCTGTAAGAAATCTTTCTTTGACCACTGCATCTTAAGCATCCTTTGCTGCTTGGGTAGAGTGCTGCTCTTAGCCTCTGTTAAGGCTCTTGGGGTGAACAGACCAAGCCCAAACAAGCTTGTAGCCCACTGGAAAATGCTGTTTCTCCACGTTGCCGTGACCTGTGTCTTAGTACATTAGCACAGTACTCTTGCTCATCTCCTGGGGATACAATCACGTTGTTCCTTGCACCTTGTTGTACATCCCATTCATGATGTGCTCTCATAGTGCTGTCTCTCCCTGCTCCTCTGTGGACAGGTGGAAGTGTAGCTGTCTCAGAAGTCAATCCTTCATCCTGCAGGGTCTATCTGCAAAAGAGTGCTATCATTTTGCAACCACTACCCTTCACTGCTTGACTGCTATGTCTGAGAGTGCAGCAGCCCTCTCACCACACCAAGGTCTTGCTGCAGCTCTCTCAGTGTAACTCAGCTTGCATAGAGTGGCTCAGAAATAAATGACACAGCTTGTAGCAAATGTTTCTCCTGCGGCTGTTGCCTCTATTATGTGGAGCTCATGCCTTGTATCTAAGTAACCCCCATCTCTTGATTTGTGATTGACAGACCATCTCTCCTGCTACCAAATTTGGGTGTTGATACTGATAGTTCTCCACTTATCTTATTTGGACAGCTGTTTGCAGAGTATCGACGGTTTGAAAGAAGCAAGAGCAGCCCCACCTTTCTTATACATAACCTTCCTCCTTCCCTTGACCTTGGTCAGGGTTGAGGAGCAGGCTTGTACGATGTGGCCATCCCATCAGTAGCAAGCTGCAGGGCGTTCCTGGGGTACAGTATTGTGCTGAAGCCGTGCTACTCTGTTGGTAGTAGCTGAAGCCAGGCTTCAGGCCCACTTCTAGGCAGGGGTGAGTGTCGGAATGAATGTGAAGTAGGATGGCAAGTAATAAATCATCTGCAACAAAAACAAAGAGTGAACCAAGCAGTCCCAGAAGCTATGTGGAGGCAATCCATTCGTCATCAGCCCACAGGTTACAGCCCAGGTGTTAACAGGGCAGTATATTTATTACCTCATTATTATTTGCAATAAGTCAATCCAGCCTTTAATTAATGCCCTTCTCTCTTCTCCCAGCCATTGGCCACAATGCTTTCTTGGAGCATATGTTTATAAAACTACATATTGTGCTCAGAAGGGAAATTCAGAAGTGTCTGTATGAAGCCTGCCTGGCATCCTAACTGCTGCTGTGAAAACTCATGGTGTACATGGCTGATAGTCTGAGACTTGTCAGAATACCACCTTGTCTCGTGCCTGATTGTTTTGACCGCTAAGTTTCTCTTTAAGATTGTGTGTGTGTATAGACATAAATCCTACTGCCTTTTCACTCCCTACTCCTTCAGTGGCAGCTCCCATTTAAGACATTTTTGTCTGCTGTTCAGTTCACTCTATGCAGGAAAGTAGCTGCATGCCCTCTAATTGGGTGCAGCTGATATGATGGAGGTGCTCTAAACTGAAATGATGCGGTTGTAAAAAAATACCTCTCACCTCCCTGGAAAAAAAAAAAAAAGATTATCCGTTCACTTCTGCTCCTTGGTGAAGAGAGAAATTGCTGTTCAATTCTGTAATTGTCCAGCTAGGGTGATGCTGAGGAGGCCTCTGTAATGTCATCTAAGCCCAAGGGTAGTGCCCTTCTTGTAATGTTCCCTCATGAAGAAGAAGATGTGCCAATTTGACCTGAGTGTGCTGGTAAACTGAATCCCAAACGCAAGTTATAGGAGTGTTTCAATTCTCATTGATTCTAGTGCACTTTTGTGACAAAAATTTTTGTCACAGTGTCTCAGTTTCCTAGAAGGCATAAGAGAGAATTTGAAATGGAAAGTACCTTTAAATGCACGTTCCTCCAAAACAAGCACTTTCCGCTTCATTTCTGTAGAAATGCAGGAAAATATGTATGTATCAGGAGCAAATTTTAGTCCAGAAAAATCAGATTTTGGAGTTTAAAACTTCAGAACGTCAAAGATTATTTGAGAAAGCTCTCATGACTGAGTGATGAAGGCAAAACTTTTAATAAAAACACTGTTGGGAAGAATGCTGCATGGTGGCAGGACTGTTATTGCTGTTATTATCATCCTCAGCACTGCACACCTGGTAGGGCATCAGCGGTTGGGGGAGTGAGACGGGAAGAGCCAGGGGCCCCCATCTGTGCCCGTCTGGTGGGTCAAACATCCCCCTGAGCTCAGTGTGGTCCTCGGCTGGTACTGCTTGGAGTGTGCACTCCCGTGAGAGTGCACTGAGATCAGCGGTGCCATGTGGTGACTTCACCTATACATGCATGACATAATAACCCCTAACTCATTGAATCAGCTGGGTTTTTTAGGGGGCAGGGAGGTGGGTGGCTTCTGGGGTTTTTTTAACTCAAATCTCTTAAACAAGAGCATTTTTAGTAATTTGTTTCAGCTTACCGAAACTTTATTTTTGCTTTCCTAAACAACCCTTTCCAAGCTTAGAGAAATGTGTGTGTGCATTACTGCTTTATTGGTAACACATCACAGCACTTCCCTATATGACATAGGGCATGTTCAGTTTTTCCCAGACCATATCAGTCTGTCATTCTTGGAGAGGATACTGCAAGTATAATCCATCCAGAGACGGCTCTTCCAGTTTCCGAAGTTTATTGCTAATGAGGATGTACATAGGATGTAATCACTGGCAGGAGCCTCTGCTTCGGGGTACAGTGAGGCCAGCAGACAAGTAAGCAGCCAATTTTATCTGGCTGTTCGCTCTTCCTTTTATCAGAGCTGTTTGGCTGGAGTTCAGGGGCGTTAGAGGGAACTGTGGAGGCTTTGGCTTGTAGAGTTGAGTGACAAGGTGTGAGATGACATGAGACAAAGCCTAGGAGCAGCAAATATGAGCATGTTGAGAGAGGCAGCTTCACATTTCACTGCAAAAACTGAAGCTTTTTTTTTAAAAAAAAAAAAAAACCAAAACACTAAGGACTACTGTCTGAACTTTGCTAAAGAGATATAGGAAGGCATCATTCCATTAGGGCTGGTCAAAACTAGCATCCGTTTGTAATAACCCCTATTAATTTGCAGATGCTTTGCTGCCAGCATGACCTGGCCTCAGCAAGCTGCTGCCCACAGATAAAAAGAGAAGGAAAATCGCCATGTTTTGGTATGAGCAGTGGTTATTTATGGCAGGTGCAGTCAGTTGCCAGTGGGTTGCAGTGGATTTTCAGTGTCAGAAGGGAAAAACTATTTTTGCAGCCAAGGCATTGTGACGATGAGAGACTACTCACAGCCTGCTTTACTAGATTAAGTATTCAGTTATCTGCAACTCCCAGTGAGGTCCTTGACAGCATGTGGCACAGAGTACCCTCAGCCCCAAAGAACTCATCAAGTTGTGACATGTATTAGATGAATGTTCCTCATACTGCTTAACGTGGGATTTGTGCATTGCTGCCGGCTCTGCACAAGTGGCAAAGGATGTATCTACAGCATGCAGCAGAGGCAGGAGATAAGTAAGGTCCAGGATGGGTTGGGTGCATGTGACAGGGTGCAGAGCCATACTGACAAGAGCTCTACAGCTCTGGAGACATTGCAGCCACTGCTAGCTCAGGCATCCGTGCCCACCATGCTGTTGCACAGCGTTGGGCTGGAAGAGCGCACATGCATCAATTGACTTGTTGGATTTTTGAACAGTCATTATAAGCCAAATGGCAATTCTGTATCAGCCAGTCATTAAAGACAGGGTTTATTATGCCTTCTATTAACCCTTTCCAAATGATGTGATAGCTCCTGTTTCCTTCTGTCCTCTGGCCTCAAGAAGATTACTGGTAAGAGGCAGTCCATGTTGGAACTGGGATAGTACTCAAATGTTGGTGACACAAGCATCCACCTCCCCTCAGCAAATTTTAATCAAGTTGACTTTGCCACCCTGTGACCCCATACTATAGAGGCAAAGACCTTCTTTCAGGTAGCCATGTGAAAGTGAAGATAGCCTCAACTTCCTTCTCTTGGTCTGAAATGTAATCTTCCTCTGCAAAAACTTAGCTTTGGAGCTTGCTTTTTGCAGCAGGTTTGCTAGTACATCTCTCCAGGCTGCAGTGATGACATAGGATGTCTTCAGTCATCCCAAGTCTTCTTCACCCTTTAAAGTGTCAGTTTTCAAATGTACTGGTGTGTTTTTTCTTTTATCCTGTGCAGTGTTTGAAAATAAAGATAAGATTGTGATCATCATGGAGTATGCAAGTAAAGGAGAGCTGTATGATTACATCAGTGAGAGGCGGCGATTGAGCGAAAGAGAGACAAGACACTTCTTTCGACAAATAGTCTCTGCTGTACATTACTGCCACAAGGTGAGCAAAGGATTTGATATTAAAAAATGCTATTTGAAGGCTGAGTAGTGACTTAGATATTTCAAAGCATGTCAGAGGCAACAGCATTCATTATTAAGTATGACAGCGTGTGATTATATCAGTACAACAGAAGATCTTAATTAAAAGTGCTACGGTAGTTCACTGCCTGTTTTTAAAGACTAAGGATGTTTTCCTGTGTTATGGCAGACACCAGCCACCCCCTTACATTAGCCCTACATTACATTTTTGCCTTGGAAATAATCCTCCTGACATTAAAAAAAAAGTAACTACATAAACTAGAAAGGCATCCCCTAGAACTTCTACAACATTAATATTAATAAATTTAAACAAGTTATAGCTTGCAATTTGAATATGCACGTGAACAGATTTAGAATAGGAGATAAAATATATGAAAAAAAAAGCCAAGAGAAAGCTACGAGTGTTCATGTATGAGCTTTAGCATGTACTTATTCTGGATAGGCAAAAGTAACTTTTCCACGTGTAGCAGGAGCACTAGAAAGATATTTTGCTAATGACTTTATCCATCATGGTACCCACTAGAATGACAATTTAAGCAATTAAACCCAAGGTAGCTGACTGGCTGTCATAACGGACCTTTTATCCCCACTTATGAACCAACTGCATAGAGCCAAAACTTGTATGAGGCTGAAGGCAACAAGGAGCTGACACAATTTTTTATTTGAATTCTTAAACTTTAATCTCCACTTGAATTCTGATACACAAGAGTGGTTTTCAGAGTCCTTCCTGTGCAGCACTGAAAAGCTACCCTGCCCTTCCCTGTGCAGTTGATTTTTCACAAATTTCTTTAAAGAAAGAAACACTTGTTTGTCTCCATCCCTTACATTTACAGTTCTTTAGGATTATAACTCCCCTGATCCATGTGGCTGCACATTGGAGGAATGAAGGCTTTTGTAAGGACTAATGTCATTGACAGATATTGTTTTCTGGTGCCTGGGAAGAATATATTGCTTTCACACAGTGGGGGCAGGATCCGGGCTGGAATTAAGTTCCAAAAAGACACCCTGAAGCCCCCCACCCCCCTGCTGTTTTAGAGGCTTTGTGGGAGGACAGATTCCAGTCATTCTTCCCTTAACCACACACCAAGTGACTAAAACATCGCCTGTCACTAGTCACTGGGCTGTGAGTGTTATGACAGTGAAATCAGCCCTGAAATGTAGATGCAGAGACCACCCTGCCAGCTCACCTTTCATTTTCCCAATATTTTCTCATGTTCTCCCCTGTTTTTTTCTTCCTTGTTTCAGAATGGTGTTGTCCACAGGGACCTAAAATTGGAAAACATCCTTCTTGATGACAATTTTAATATTAAGGTAGGATTCCTTTTCTCAGCTTCTCAGAATGGATTTGCATGTTTTGTAACATTTTTATCCAAGGTATTAGAAGAGCCAGTGTTATGGCAACAGCTGCTAAGCAACAGCATCTGGCAAGAGGCTCGGGGTTTGGAGGTTGGGGAAAGAGCACCACTGGTGATGAGTCATACATGCTAAATGAAGCTTTGCATCATTTGGGGGGAGAAGGTCCTGTCCTGCCACCCATGGGCCATGATTCCCAAAGCAGCATCTACTTGCTGATATGAAACAGAGAGCATTTCATGTGGTTGGGTTTATTGTACAAATGATATTATTGCTGGCTGCTGCTGGGGCTAGGAAAAAACTCTCCTGGTCTGAACGGTTCAAGTGCCTCCTACAGAACACTCTGAATGGCCTTTTGATCATGGCTAGAAAATAAGCAAATAGAGTTTCAAAATAAACCTAGCAAAGCACATGTGCTTCATTAGAAAATGGCCTTGGAACTCCAGACACAAACGTATATTTTGGATAGTGATGTCAGTGATGTCATTTCCATGTCATGTCTCCCCAGTGAAAGCATGAGAATGACCTTTTTTCCCTTGTTTTTTTTTCCTAATAGCTGTAGCACAAAGATAAATAATGCAGAGATGAGCGTAGTTTCAGGTGGCTGAACCTGTTTCACTTTCAACTTTGTTCCTCCCCGAGTAGCTGGATGTGAGGGTGGCTGGGTGCGCTCATCTATGGGCAAGCAGAGGGAGTGACGTCAAAGAGTTTCTGCTGATGCTTGGGCATCTTTGCTTAATTAACAAAGCAATTGATGTGCTCTCTGTGTAGCCAAGTATCTAAATAGCCTGAATCTTAATTTTGTCTCCACTGAAAGCCACGGGGCTGCACACACTGCCTTTTGCACTTCATGCTGGAGAGATTGTCTTTATTTTAAGCTGATGTGCAATGGAAGTGGAAAGTAACATATGGTAGCTGCCATCTGTGTAACGCTGATGACAGAAGCTAACTTGGATCAACTAGTGGATTAAAGGCACATAAATATGTGGTTTCTAAAAATAGTCTTTTACAGAAGGCCCATCCAATGCAATACTTGGACGTTTTGCTGTTAACATCCAGTGTTAGATTGAACCTCCCCACTCCTGTTCCTATGGGGACGCTGGCTGCAGCAGCCCAAGCTGTTCTCAGTGGTGGTGAAAACAAAAAGTAGCCTTTCTAGGACATTGTATACGAAACAGGCTTCCGCAGGCAGGATGACCTTTCTTTCCGCATTACATGCCAAACTATCTTCCCAGCTAATCAGAGAATTCTTGAGAGAAAAGAGGAATTTGGGGAATTTGCTAGCTGTGGTGGCCTGGATCTCTGCACTGTGGTCCTCATATGCAAAACCAATCACTTCCCTGAGCCCCTGGGGAGCTGCGCTTTGTCACAAGGCTACACTCCCTCTCCTCTCCTCTTTGTGGGACTCTAATCATCCTGAAGGGAGAGCGGGAGGATGAGGCAGGGACAAGTAGCTTTATGTTTGAGTCCAGACCATGGAGGTGACCCAGAAGCTTCAGAACCACAGATGCATTTCAGCTGCCATACCCAGTGGCACTGCTGTGGAAGAAATTCAGGTAGCTGCGAATTCCTACGTCCCTTCCAATCATTTGGACGTCTTTTTTTTGAAGGCATCCCTTTCCTGAACTGCATTGTGTTTCAGCTGCCGTGTAGGTATTTCGCGTATTTCCAGCCTTTCCTCAGTTACTTCTCTGCAAACTGTAAGGCATGCCTCTGAGCAGACAAGGCTGCCTCGGCATGGATAGGTGGCTGCAAGCTCCCTTTCTGTCACCTGGTAACGATTTCTGCAAAGGGTCTCATGAAGCTAAAAAAATAGAACGAACTTGGGAAGCAATTGGTATTTCGTACATCTTGCTATCAATAGTGTTTAAATTTGGATTACTTCGAGACATTACTTTTTGTATTGTTTTCCTTTTGCTCCCTGCTCTCTTTTTTTTACACCTTGTGACTAAGATCACCTTTGAGTACTTGATGTTAAGCACACCGCCAGGATTTCCCTGATGCTGAAGCTTTGAATATGTTACTGTGGTTTCTGTGTTACTTGCACAGGATTTTACTTCCCCCTTTTTCTTTGTTTCACTAAACAGTAACCGTTGGCAGGGAAACACATATGGAGCTGTAAATTATTTATTAGGAGTAAATTTATCAGTCCTCATTCTTAGAGTATTTTTATATGGTTTATTCAGACAGAAAAAAAAGAAATATGCAATTTGGGGTTTGGTATTGACTGATGGCTTCAAATACTCAGTGGAAGGAATTTTCTAGAAATGGAGTGATAGTCTTATCGGTACTTTCCCAGTATTTATATTTCATTCAGTGGATTACAGAGCACTTACAAAATTGGCAGTTTGATTTTAAGAACGAGAAAATGAAAGGAATCCCTTTGTCCTTGGGTGCAATTAAATACATGTTTCTGAAGAAGCTAGTGATCTATACATTATGATATACATAAACATGTCATAGTAATGTGAACTAAAAAAAAGATGTTGTAAAAATAGATCCATGTATAGCAATTTAAGGAATACTTTTAGAACAGTAAATAAAGAGGACGAGTAATCCATTAGAAATTATTATCTGACCTGAAAGGGCCTCAAGTCATTTTACGTGATACTACACTAACTGGGAAACCATTCTTAAATTTTAGCTAATTAAATTACGGTCATGAAGTGGTGTATGGAGATATAAGCGGCTTTTTTTAAAGTTACAATAGTGAGTAAAAGTCTCTGGAAATGCAGTAATGTGTTGGAGTACAGCAACTAGGAAACACCAGTGTCTGAAAGCTGACAAAAAGTTACATGTTTTGAAGAGTTCTGCAGGTCCACAGGACAGAGGTGGAGGATGATGATGGGAAAAAAGTTATCTGATCTGTAGTATATAATTCTGTTTTTCAGGGACTTGGTGTATGCAGTAATATTTCCTGCAAACTATTGCTTAAAACCCCTACATGAAGCAAACACAAGTAAATAAAATGGGTTTTAAACATTTGTGAGACTGAACATGCTCGCAGATCTATGGGGTACGAGGAACTCATCCAGCCAATTAATGAAACGATAGCTTGCCTTTCTCCTCAGATGTGCACCCAACTATCTAGCAGAACCCCTGAGTGCAAATGTTTCTCCTGGGAGCTAGCCTGTCTGCAGAGATCAACAGTGGGGTACAATCCTAGAGCTAAACCTCACCAAGGCACTGACTGCAGCTTCCCAGGGCAGAAAGGCGTTATGTGCTTTCCTACCTCGTTCATGGTGCCGTATTCTTTAAAGAAATAAAGCAGTGACAAAGTCAGGGTTTCTGCAGTGTATACAAGCCGCACCTTAGTCACATTCATGTGCCCGCTGCTAACAGCTCAGTTCACCTTAAAATTTACTCCATTCTCCTTTCATCTGCCCGCACTTGCTGCCTTCCACCCTGCCCCCTCTGCTTGCCCTAGGTTCCCGGAGGTGGGTACAACTGCTCCCCCACCACGCAGCAGCAAAACAGCCTCTTGCTGGCATTTTCATCCCATCAAGAGGATGTCATCGTTTGTAATCCTAACACAGTTGGAGGTGGGCAGGGTCGGGCAGGGTCCGACAGCCAGCAGGGCTAAGGCAACCCCAAAGCACTGAAAGAGCTGCCCTGTGTTGGTGAGTTAGCAATTTTTGGGAAGCGATTTGCAACGGCTTTAAGCATCTGCCTTTGGTGGTCTTCAAAAAAGCCTTCTGGTGGTGCCTTCTTCTCTTCATTAGTTTTAAAAGGACTGAGGACGCTGGTTTTTGGTTCATTGTAGGTATGAAGTTACTAGAAGAACTAGTAGCAGGGCGAGAGTGCAGCTGCCTTCTTTCTCCCATAGCTCCTGCAGTTTGGCCTGATGAGGACCATATGTCCCCAAGCACTGCAGCTCTCCCCAGTGCCTAAATCCCCAAAACTGCATGCAAGGAGGTGGAGAGAAACTGCTGCCCAGAGCGGCAGCCAGGGAATTAGTGCCTCTTGCTGGTCTATCCAAATATCATATCCCTGTCCTGAGCCACAGCCTGCCCCTAGGGACACCTCTGTCATGCAGCCTGGCAAGGTGGAGGGGGCCTCCTTCTTCACTGTAAGGCTGTGGCGGCTCCTGGGCTGGGAATTGCACCTAAAAGAGATGTCTAGCAGAGGTTGACGTAAACTGTATTATCAACCTCAAAGTGATAGAAGGAGAGAAAAATGCAAGTATAATAGTAATATAATCCTACTAACTGCACTTCCTCTTGGGCCAGTAAGGGGACACCAGTCAGGCTAACCACTGAAAACCCATGAGGGTTTCATATATACAGAGTAAGTGTATGTAATTGGGATTTACCTCGCTGGAAGTCTCACCCACTGCACATACGCTTCATTTAAGAGACCTAATTATTTCTCTATCTGCAGTACAAAGAGACAGATTTTTAAGTGGGATAAAACTGACAATTTCCATGAGTGTGAACTTAATGGAATTTATAGTCCACACTTAAACAATAAATTACGTCTGGTTTATCATAGCTAACAGTAAATATGAAACATACACCTCCTGAAGTGGAGGGGATAAAAGTCTACTTCCCCACTCCTCCCAATTTAGGAAGTTTTTTTGACTTGATGCCTTAGTTCCATTTAAGTGCCAAGAACATGAAGTAATGTTGTCTTCTATTAATCTTGTTTTGGGGGGCATGACAGTTTTAATGGGAAAAGCTGATAAACATCAGTCTGTGAGTATGGGAGTGGACTGTAACATAAATACTCTTTTCCTGAATGGTCAAAATGAAAACATGAATGCCCAAGTCTGAGAGTTTCTTAGTGTGAACAATGGTATGTGTATCCCTATATATATATTCATGCACATCCACATGCATTTTATACATTCCATGGTGTTAAGGGAATATATTTTCTTAAGGAATCACACTGTGCAGTGTTTGTCCTTGTCTTAGCAGCATCCTGAACTAAAGTAAAACTCAATGACTAGCATGAAGTTTTAACACTGAAATGATCCCATTCTTCCCCTGATTGACAGGGCACACTTCATAAGGCTTAAAACCGACTTCCTGCGAGCCAGGCAGGGTGACTTGATAAGAAAGTGGAATTTAGGGCAGTTAAGTGCAATCTGAGCCATGAGAATATGTTTGCAGACTGCAATTGTACACCAGCTGTTTTCAATGACATTCCAGCCATACAATGAAGATTTTACAAACCACATTTATTTAAGGGTTGAGTTTTCTGCTGTGGGTTGATAATACGCTGTTTGGGGGACTGAGTGAATTCAAACTGTGAATGGACGTGTTGAGATGAATTAACATTAATGAACAGGAATCAGCTGCTCTTTGAGCAGGATATTATGAGCCCAAATTATCAGTGCAACACCTGCACAAGCAGAACATCAAAATAGGAGAGGGTGAAGCATGAAATCTCGTACTTGCTCTGTGACTTAAAAAATGTTGTGAAAATAATATTTTAAAAAACAAGGTTATATTTTTAACATAAAAGTATCTGTGTCTCAATCTATATCTATCTGTATCTATTTATAGATAAAGCATGTGTATTTATATTTCTGTTGTGAGGTAATGAAAGAAAATTGGGAACTTCAGTCCGTACTTCACCAACTTTGTTCGTTTTGGTCTTAACTGTGACATTTTTAGGTGTAGCTGAAGGAGTTTGGGTAGTAGATACAAAGACTTTATGTCTCCCAGGAGTTCACTAGGCGTTACAATCAGGATTTAGCAGCACTCATGATACACATTTTAGAAATCCAGGAGTGAATGATGCTTCTGGTAAATCCTTTTATTTTCCATTCACTTTGTGTTTTCCTGAATTTTCTCTTATGGAAATTCCCGGGATTTACTTTTTTTTCTGGTAGAAAAGACCTGAATAAGATGAAGAAAACCCAGGGAAAATGTCTGTCCCTTATACCTAGAAATTGATAATACCTTTTTTATGCCTGTGCTTAATGTCTTTTATGTATTTGAGTTTTAAACAAGATAAAAAATTAGATGTGTTGCCTTGTACTAGAGAAACAAAAGAAATGCAAAGGTTGTGGGAGTATTTAGTGTTGCTATCATCAGCCTTTGTTTTGTAAGAACAAGAACAGAGAACTGAAGTAAACAAAATATTTGGATCTGATCCTGCAATTCCTACATGGGCAAAATTCCCAACAGTCTCAAGGGAAGCTTTGTTTGTGTTGGGAAAGCCGGATTTGGGCCCATTGTTTCCCGTTAGGAACCAAACTTGTGTTTATTGTCTCATGACAGACATCTCGTGCTTAACAGCTCAGATTCCTCAGCCTGAGTCCCTGAATCTGGAAGAGTTAGTGAGTGCCTCACTTTCCCCCTCCTTCAAGTGTAGCTAAGTTCCAGATGATTTCAAAAATCACTTTCTTCTGCAATGCTGACTTTCCTGTGACACTCCTGCCTCACTCCTCCTGTTAGGTATAAAGGTCTTGGCTTTTGGCTTGCGTGTGCACGATAAGAATGGTAGTACTTTCTGCTTGCGTTCCTTTGGTATTAATGATTATACAAGATGAAGAGCAATCTGTGGACAGCAGGTCCAGTGCCTCCCAGTATGAGATTGTCTTTGCAAGCATATGCAATTCATCCAGGATGAAATTACTGACGGATGGTTGTGCAGTCAGTCAGTGACCTGCCTGTGAGTGGAATCAAAGTGTCCTTGTTCCTAATCTGGAGGATTTAGCCTGGGAACCCTTCTTCTCTGAAGGGTCTGAAGAGAGAAAAGTGAAAAAAAAATCATGAAATAGTGGCTTGGCAAGGGAACTTGAGAGATTATCCACGTTGAGATCTGCCCTACAGCAGGGTCAAATATAGCTGAGTCTTTCCTGATAAGGGATTTTCTGTTGCATGAAGATATTGTTCATACTACAGGTGCCTTGTGCAATTCTATTTGCAGATTGCTGACTTTGGACTCTCCAACCTTTATCACAAAGACAAGTTTCTGCAGACCTTTTGTGGAAGCCCACTGTATGCTTCCCCTGAAATAGTTAATGGACGACCTTACAGAGGCCCAGAGGTAAGAAGGGTCAGCTTTTCGGTGGTGGTATGGGGTGTCTTTGATTACAATGTTCTTGAGGGTTAGTCTTAATGCTAGTGTTATTGCACATGTGGATTTGCTTGGGTCTCTCCCATATTGAAAGTTCTCAAGCTGCCTTCTTTTGCGTTCGTTTGCTTTGCCTGTGGTTAGTCAGATGTTAGATACTGGTTTGCCCATCAGTAGATGAAGTTGGACGTGATGCTGTTCTTGTGGTGCTAATGGCAGGGAGAAGAGTGGGGATCAGCTTTCCTGGGCTTCACATGCATTGTCTCTGTATTTCAGGTTGACAGCTGGGCCCTCGGTGTGTTGCTTTACACTTTGGTTTATGGAACAATGCCCTTTGATGGCTTTGATCACAAAAATCTCATCAGGCAGATCAGCAGTGGAGAATATCGTGAGCCAACACAGACCTCAGGTATAAAAAAGGAGCGAGGGCCATGTATTGAGCTGACAGGAGTTCAGAACGGAGGGTTTTCCTGGCCCCTTCCAACATGTTTTAGTGTCATATTAGAATGATGAAGAAAAAAATCTCTCATTCCCCTACTGACTTCATCTGCTATCAATTCCCATCTGGGTACAGCATTTAGCAAAACCCCTTTTGAAATGAAAATTTTATAGCAGATAGATTTTATTGCCTTGGGGAAGCTGTAACGGTCTCTTTTAACTAGATCAATGACAGTGGAAGGTCTGTTAGCTATTGCGAGTGGAATTGTTCAGACAAGCTGTAAACCGATACAACATACTGGTACAGATCAGTCCTCTAGCTATACTGTGGTATATCACAAGCAGAGAGAAGATGAATGGTCAGAGCGATGCAGTCTCTTACCCAAGAAGGCAGGCCAAAATCTAAATTAATGCCACTATGTTCGTGTGTACTTCTGCTTAGAGGAGAACACATTAAGCAGTCACCTGACAGAAAAGCATCAGCTAAGTCCAGGTCATTGATTATAATGACTCCTTACAGCCTTAAACATCTATGTATATATTATATTTAAATGCATATTTATCGTGTATCATTTGTTTGACATCCCTTTCAATTTTCTGCCTTCTTGCTCTTTTTATGAAATATACCTTTAAAATATACAGAAGACTACACTGTTTATGGAAAAAAGTAAATACAAAAGCGATAATGGGTAGATCATTTGAAATATCCCAATTCCCCTTTGTTTTCCTGCAAGTTTTGTAATTATTAGAGTTGATAGGTTGATGAATTCTTTCAGTAATATGAAACTATTCACTGACTAATACAGCACAAATATTAATTTCTTTCATGACTCAGTGTACATTTCCCAGGATGAATCATATTCTTATGATAAGAAGTAGTTCTCAAATTAATTTTCCAACATTGACTGATGGTCAAAGCATTGCTCCCTTTCCCTTCTGTAGTGACACGTTACTTCTGCTCATTTGATTAGCTTCACGCTTCCATTTTAAACTGAGAAAACCAAGACTGCCCATACTCTAAATATTTTATATTCCATTCTTTGTCCATAGATGCTCGTGGTCTTATCAGGTGGATGCTGATGGTGAACCCTGAACGCCGAGCAACCATTGAAGACATTGCCAATCACTGGTGGGTTAACTGGGGCTACAAGAGTAGTGTTTGTGACTGTGATGCCATGAGGGACTCCGAGTCCCCGTTGCTGGCAAGGTTCATTGATTGGCATCACCGATCTACTGGCCTCCAACCAGAGACTGATACCAAAATGAAGTGCCTTTCTAAGCCCAAAGGTCCTGAAGTCACACTAGAGAGACAAAGGTCTCTGAAAAAATCAAAAAAGGAAAATGACATTGTACAGTCCATCCAGGAAGGAGGAGCTGAAAACGCATCCAAACCCACCTCCAAGAGACCCAAAGGCATCCTGAAGAAAAGGAGCAACAGTGAACATCGATCTCACAGTGCAGGTTTCATTGAAGGAGTGGTCAGCCCAGTGTTACCTTCTGCTTTTAAACTGGAGCAAGAGTTGTGTAGGACTGGCGTAGCCATTAAAAGTGTTGTGGAAGGAGAAGTAGCAGGCAAATATGGCACTAAGCAGTCTTCACTAATGCCAAAAAAAGGAATCTTAAAGAAGACTCAGCAGAGGGAGTCAGGCTATTACTCCTCTCCAGAACGAAGTGAATCTTCTGAACTCTTGGACAATAATGATGAGACAGTAAACAGTGATACTTCTCCAGGGGTCACAGAGCCATCCAGAAATGGCTCATATAGCCATTCCTGCAGGCGTAAGGGCATCTTGAAACATAACAGCAAGTATTCTACCAGCAGCACTGAATCTGCTTTGATTAGCCCTGACACACCAACGCTGGAGGCCATGGAAGAAGTGGTCCTGCCTGGTGATGCATTACCTCGAAGTTACAGTCGCCCTTCCAGCGTGATTAGTGATGACAGTATTTTGTCCAGTGACTCCTTCGATTTGCTGGATTTGCAAGAGAACAGGCCAAACAGACAGAGGATACGAAGCTGTGTCTCTGCTGAAAATTTTCTCCAGATCCAAGACTTTGAAGGACTTCAGAACTGCCCACGGCCACAGTATCTAAAACGTTATCGCAACCGTCTGGGGGACAGCAGTTTTTCCCTTCTCACAGACATGGATGATGTGACTCAGGTCTACAAGAAAGCCCTAGAGATCTGCAACAAGCTCAACTAGCAGAGGGAAGATAGAAAGGGAGGGAAGGGAGTTTTTCTGTGTACCTTTATGATGGAGTAAGCCAGGTCACTGATTTGCTGACCATAGTAGGTTTTGCTTCAAAGAACTTGACTATACCTACTTAGCTGAACTAGTAAAGTAGCCCCAAAGCCATCTCACACTTCTCTAATTTTGTGTCCTCAAAATATTACCTACCTGACCAGACAAAAACCTTTTGTCTTTGTATACATGGTGAAAACACATCAGGATCTAGCAGACAAAAGCATCAAGATTTAATGGCTCAGAGTCGAAGCTAGACAGAATTAAAACTGGAAGTGAGTGACACATGCTTTGAGAGGTTTGTAATTCATATTAGATCAGCTTTATTGAGAGATGAGCTGAATTCTTCAAGTTGATTTTGGTTGTCTGTTAGAAAGAGAACCTTTATTTTCCCCCGAAGTTATTAATCTGGATACAGCTGTTGCACATTGGGAATCCTTGGCTTGCGTTATGCAGGAGGCCAGGCTAGGTGGTCACCATGGTCCCTTCCCCTGGGATCACCTGAGAGGTTCTGAACACATTCTGGGACAGATAATTTGAGAGACTTACCCAAGAATAACCTCACATGGTGTTTGTGGACAACTGGTGGAGCAGGCATTCATATCTGGCCCCTCCTACAGGCATTGCTCTTCAGTGAGCAGGAGGCCCTAAAGCTGTTTCCAACTACCTCTCATACCAGCAAAACAGAGTCACAGAAACGATAAAGGGAACTGGGAAGAATGGATCTTAGCAGCAGCTAAATGACCTTTTAAGGCATTTCAGCCCATGTGTTCAATTTGTGACTCTTTCAAAGTGGCCAGTCAGAGGAATGCCCAAAGATGGATCTAACAAAGGATCTCAAGGGTTAACTGATCCTCCAATCTAGAGTTCAGCTAATGGCAGCAAATGGTGCCACCTTGCTGTTAACTTGTAGTATTTGAGGGTGACAGGTAGTTTGCGACCAGAATGTTAGGTAAGGAAAAGGTTGTAGCATGTAGGGAATGGATAGAGGTCAGAAAGTTAGTGGGAAAATACCTTTCTCCAAATGAAAATGTTTCTAGGTAGGCAGTAATGGAACAGAAAGAACTGAGCAATGAAATGATAGTTAGATTTGATAACAGAGTTAGCATAGAACTGCTGGCCTCTGTCTATATAGTGTAGCTGATACTGCATGTGCAATGATACCAGTTTGAAAAAAAATGAGCAGGATATGTGTTTGTGTTCTCGGACATATCTAAATATCCAGACTGAAGGCTTCAACTCCCATAAAGGTACCACATGGGTCTACTGGATTACCTGAATGTAAGCCTATGTCAGAAAGGCACTGTGTGTTTGACAGGCCTGGGCAAACTGGAATCTTAAGGCCCATTTCAGTCAAATTTCCATGAGCACATAGCCCCTGGCTTTCTTGGAGGTGCACTGGTGCAAATAAGCAACAGGTTTCAGCCTGTGATGTCAGATGATCCACAGCTGCAAAACTTAAGGTCTACACACATACCCAGAGCAGAGGAACATAGGGCAAGCTCTGTTCTCACTCCTACCCTGTAACCGCAACTGAAAGCAGAATTTGGCCCACTGTGTCCGAAATCCTAGAGATTGTGAGGAAACGGAAGAGTTCCTCTGGGGATTCCCTGGAAACTGGGAATAACCCCATAAATCGTTGGCTTTTGGAGCAATTTCACTTGCGGTTTCCTTATTTGGTGTATCATGGTACTTAAGTCTGCTGGTTCCTCCTAAAAATCAACTGGGCTGCCTAGCATAAAGATGAATGATGTTGAATTTCCTAAATCAGTTAATCTGCCTCTATGGAGAACTTTTAGTTGTGAAACACTGGACCAAATTTAGCCCTGGAGTAAACGCCATCAGTACCATGAAATGTATGAGAGACATGCTCGCAGGTGGTCAAGTGAAATTTGTCTCACTGCCCATTTGCTCAGGAAGGGCAACTGCAGGTCATTTCTCTACAGATGTGTACCTCTCTGTATGATATTCAGATGTCCCATCTTCTCACAGGCCCTGCATGTGCTCCTTTAGCCCATCCGAAATCAACACCCCATTTTGCAGTGTATTTAGTTAAAAGTTTGCTGTGGTACATTTTAAAAACAACTCAACATAATCTCAGTGGCCTTTCTGAAAGAAGGATGTGCTTCGCAGCCACGGCTTTTAACTTGTGCCCCAGAGCGTAAGAGCCAGATCCTCAGCTGGTGTAAATCAGTGCTGTCTGGTTGACATGACAGAACATCATGTCAGGGGGGTTTCGCTGACTGACACCTTCCCTGCAGATCTGGCGCTAAACTTTGAATGGATTTGTAGAGGTTTCAGGATGAAGGGAAGGGAACTCAGCTGGCCGTGGCAGGGAAGTGAGGAGCACCCCGAAGGCTCCTATCTCCCGAGGCTTTTGCCCAGGCCTGCTTCCTTGTGTACAAATGTGAATGAGTGACTGCTTGCTGCCAAACTGGAAAGTTTATGTAGGGATTTACTGGCATGTTACTGGCATGTTACATGTTTACTGGCATGTTATCATTCCTAGAAGAGAAGAAAAAAAACCAAACTTGACTGCACATTGTTATTGTTAGTGTTGTGATTTTATTTAATTTTTTTGTAATACAAAGTTGACTTTTTTATTTGAATTTGTCTTTTTTTTTATTTATTGGTCTGAAAGCCATTTCAAAGGTATAATAATATATTTGGTGTAATTTAATTGGTGCAACATTATTTTACAGCTCCGGCCAAAATTGTTTGGTGTTATTTGTTGGGTTTTTTTTTTGTTTTTTCTCCCAATCCTTGGTTGGTTTGAGCTCTACGAGACACACAGGGGAAAACTCTGGATAATCACCCAAAGTGTTTGTATTTTTAATCTGATACTGTTTTTTATTAAATGAAATTAATGTAACTGTGAAGAGTCTCTCTCCCTTTTCTTTTTCACTGTGCATCAGCATAAGCCAAGGCCAAACAGTAATGAACTTGTCATGCAGAAATACAGCAGCATCTCAGCACATTGTACCAAGCTGTTTATGCAAAGTTTCTTGGCTCATTTATGCATTTGAATATAATGTGGGTGGCCACAGAGACTCCCGTGCTACGAAGCATTTGGCACTGCAAAACACCCAGAGCTTTCAGCTATAGAAATGTTTGGTGGTGAAGAATAGCTGAGTGGGGTTCTCTGCTGGAGATGAATGAGTTTTGTGGGCCAGGTGTGCTGCAGGCGAGACAAGAGCAGGCTGGCTGACCAGAGACAGCACAATTCATTCGTAGCCCAGAGACAGATGGTCATGGTCCTTTCCCCTCTCTGGCAGGGAGAGGGACAGTTTATTAACAACGTTAATGTTCCCATTGGTATAATTTAAGGATTATTTGTGAAAAAAACAACCTGGTGGCCATCTGCTGCTGTTAAATGTAGGATGACTGTAGTTAGATGGTTTTGAGCAGCCAGCATAATAAGCTGGTGAGAGACACAAAAGGAGTCAGTTTTCATTTTTTTGGAGCCTCCTTGATAACCAGAAGGCTTTAGATTGTTTTTCTTGGAAAGCAGATGGGCATCATAAGAGAAACTGGGTGTTAGGTACACTGTGTGTGCTGGAGACTTGTTAAAATAAAGGAAATGGTTGGCAATGTCCTGATGTTGGCTCTGAGCAAGACACCATTAAACTTCACCCTTGATGCAGCCAGCCAAGATACCTGTGGTGTATATTCTGTTTTTTAAATTACAGGTAGTTTGGATTAGGATCCAAGGTCTGGATATCATGCAAAAAAGGCTTTTGTTTTTCTAATTCATTTTCTCTCCCTTTTAAAGCAAGAAGCCATTGCTGTAGGTGCTGGATTTATTCATCATCACCACTTAACAACCAGTGGGAATGAAGGAAAAAAAGCCAACTATGCAGAAAGGCAAACAGCCATTAATACATTACAAAGGGAATGATTAGCTGCTGTATGCTAATTGAGTCGGAAATTGTAAGGTATATAGTCAAAGTCAGCACAAGTGTTCTTGTAACTGAGGTGTATAATGTCTGTGTGGGTGCTAGGTGGTGGAAAATGTAATGCAAATCTCATCTGCAATAGCAATTATGAAACTTTTTTTCTTAATACAGTAGGAAAAAAGTTATATTGGGGGCAAACCATTTGTTTTGTTTTAAAAATAATGACTTTTAGAAAGAAAGTTCTGGATGGCTGGGTATGGTGCATGTATGTGGGAAACACTGAGAAGTAATTTTGTGCATGTTTGTACAGCTCTGAGAGTGCACGCTTCTGGGGTGGGGAAGTGGGCGTCTAATTTTCCTACTTATTAAAGGAGATAAATGTACAGTGATATGCCTTAGTTGAAGTTACATAGTAAGTCTGTAGCCAGACCTGGTCTTTTGTTCTTGCCCCATGGGGATTCCAATGTTTCCTAGGAATTGTTGAACTTTTATGGATTGGGCAACGCAGGAACAAGGAAACAAGACGGAAGCCTTGGGAACTATGCAGTCAAGTGACAAAAGCAGTAGTGGTTTTTTTACACAGCCACAAATAGTCTTGTCTGTTATAACCCTTCCTTTACCTCTAAAAGTTGACAACCTCAATTTCTGATCCTGCAAAGCCTGTGCCTGTGCATAACGTGATAAGGTCAGGGATCCCTCTGACTGTGAGAGGCTTGCAGAAGTCCGGGGCCCAGTTCACATGAGCAGCAGTGCCTGACGCTGCCGTATAGCAGTAGAGCACTTAGAGGCCAACTCAAAAACTTGCAGGAGAACCTCATGCTGCTTCTCGAAGCTCACCGATGCCAAGTCACTTGAGCAGAGGGAAAAGACTTGTGCCGAGGCAGCGGGAGGCAGCTCTCTTCCAGTGCTGTCACAGCCTCTGAGGTGGTGCCCATGGCCACCCCATAGTGCTGTTAAGCATAATTCAGAGCAAAGTGATACAACACAATTTCTAGCCATAAACATTTGCATTTGATTTGTAGTTATGTCTCTTCTCACAGCTCCGAAGGTCTCCATTTAAGGACT